GCTCCTCAGTGAACAGAGCGTGGCTGGCACTGGGCTCTGAACAGTCTTCAGGACTGGTTATACGCTTCGCAGCGCACTGGTGCAACCAGACATGGTTGGTGGTCTTGGCATGTCCACCTGATCTCTGGGTCTACAGAGAAAGGTGGGGGCTTGGCCGTCTGCAGACTCGCTTGAAGTGGCACATGCAGACAAGCAGGGGGCACCCCGGCTCCTTGTCTCAACCTGAGAAGATGTAGTCCCACCAAGAGATCCGTGCATGCTATTGCTTTTCATATTTGCAGGTGGACAGACATCAATAAAGTGTCTCTATAGCATCTTAATATACATTTCTTTGATTACTAATGTGAGTACTCCATCTAAGGGGATCAAGGTAGGAAGAGAGATGTCAGAGGTTATAGGCGGCCAACATCAATAGTTTATATATTCTCTTCCCGTTTCTTCAGCAATCTCTGCTGTTTTTGAAACCTATGAATGCCTACTCCACATGCCCATATTAACAGAGCATGCCGAGAGCAAGGTCCAGGCCAGCAGGAGGTGTGGGAGGAGGGACAGGACGGATGGGAGCAGGACGACAGCTGTGCTTTCAGTGAGCTCACTCAGCCTGCACACAAACGTGAGAATGCACACGTGAGAAGCTTTGTTACTAGGTACGCCCAGTGCCCTCTCTAGATCTGCTTCTTCACCTGTAAAACCAGGCTGCGGCATTGAATCACAGACTGGCAATTCTACGGGAGATCTGAGACAGCACTGGCTGCCCCACCCCTTGTAGACGAAGCCTGGCTTTGGGAGAATGTGTCGTGCGTGGCTCCGAGGAGTGTCCCACCGCACTGCGCCCTCCGACTTCAGCCCCACTGGTATCTCTGGATCTCCGGACACCCTGCCTGTCATAGACGGTTACCCACGGTTACCCACCTGCCATCTCAGTTACCCACCCATCAGGAGTGGCAATGCATTATCTAGCTGAGCTTAAAAGTTCTACTGATGAAGCAAAGTTGCACTCTTTTCAAAGCAATCGATAGAATCATGGCTTGAGAGATTTTGGAATCTCGAGTAAACTTAGGTCTGGAGCCCTCCCAGGGCTAATTTAAATGGAAGAGCAGGTAATAGTTCACTTGGGCTCATTTTCCAGTTTTTAAAATGCCATTTCTTTTCTAGCAGAATCAATTTTTAAGCTATTAACCTAGCTTTCGCCAGACATTTTTCTTGTGGTTTGGTTTATCCTGGTTGTTACTTAAGTCTCCCCACAGGGAAGCAGCAGATTACAGGCATGTGCTCTGAGACCCTGTGCAGGCACTATGGAGGTTGGGGTGGGGACCTGGAACCATGGCAGGGGAGAGGTTTTGGAGGTCCACAGGTCACAGGTGGCACCGTGGCTCCACATCTCAACATGTGTCTTCTCCAAGTTCCAGTCGTCAAAGGCACAAGAGGAAGAGTTTACACAGCCAAGCATAACCACCACTGCTGATGGAAGTATAAATTGATGCCACCTTGGGGGCCAGCAGGGGCATAGTGGTTAAGGTGCTGGACTCCCACATGGCTAACTGCAGTTCAAGTCCCGAACCCGGTGACTTGAAACTCATGCCAGGTGCATATGCATGTGCGCCCCAAATCCTGAGAGAATGGAGGAGAAGGGATTGCGGCCTGGCCATCCCCCCTGGGGGCTGATTTCTTACTTTCTCTCTCTCTGTCTTTCTGGCAAGTGCACGCCCTGATACAACTGTGCAGGTCAGGGTCTGGTGATAGCTGTCAGAATTGCAAACGCCCACACCCTTGACCTGCGATCTTCTTTTAGAAATTGATCCTGCAGGTTTACTGCGGGTTCCGAGGTACACATACACAGACAGGCCTTGTGGCATCACTCATTGTGTCAAAACATTGGAAAGCAACCCGAACCAACAGGAGGCGGGCCAGGGGAGTCCTAGTCTGTCCATCCGAGGAAGCAGTCTGTGATCATCCGGAACTCAGACAGCTCTGTAAGAAGTGATTCGGAAGGATCTCCAACATGAGTCATTATGGGAAAGGACTGGATGCAGAGCAATAAGTATTTGAATATGTGACTTGTGTAAAAGGAAAAAAAACATAGAATATGTGGCCAATCCCGTGGCATAGTACCTAAGGGAGCAGATTTCCACACGACTGACCACTCGGTTTGAATTCTGGCCCCAGTGGCCCCAGTAGCTTGGAAAACATGCTAGGAATGTGAGCATGCCGGGTCCTGCAGAGATGGAGAAATAACTAGATGGAATTGCAGAATCCCACACCCGGCTAAGAGGTGCTCTCTGCCTCTCCTCTCGCTTTCTCTCTCTTTCTCTGTCTCTCTGGGGAGCACACACACCCTATGGCAATTTAAAAAAATGTATAACATAGTTATGTGTTCATAGAATCTCTTTGGAAGAATGTATGATGGAGTGATAAGGGTGTATGCCTCTGGGAAGATACTAGGGATGCTGGGGGACTCCACTCAGCTACTCAAGACCCAGAATAGACACATCCTCAAGCCTTCCTATTCAGTTTTCTTTCCTTCTTTTTCTTTCTTTCTTCTTTCTCTCTATCTCTTCCCCCCCCCTTTTTTTTTGCCTTTCCAGTTGTGTCTATTAGAAGTTCTATACTTTTCATCTTTTTTGTTTAAATTCACCCACTTCCTTCCCTCCCCACTCTGTCACCTCATCCCAAGCCACCATCCCTCTGCAGATGCAGGGCTGGGCACCTTCCATCCACACTCACCCCTTCCTGATCCACTCTCCACCTAGCAGCCTGCAGCAGCTTTAAGAAATGAGCCCTTTCTCTGGTAACTAGACTAAAACCCCATGCCCTTCTAAAATATCAATGGCCCCATGGTCAGAGCACCCCTTCTGTCCCGCCTCGGCCATACTGACCTCTCTTTTCTACACCCCAGGCCTGTCCTTCTTGACTAGCCTCTGAATTGGACATCCCCTTTCTATGAAAGGTCCTCTCTCCTCTCAGCTTTCCCACGGCTGCCCCACTTCCCTCTTTGGAGTGTCAGGGGCCTTTTTTTTTTTTCTTAATTAATTTTTAAGAGGTTTTTGCCTTAGGGCATGTGCCCTCACCAGGGAGATAGAGACAGAGACGGTGAGAGGGAAAGTGAGAAATCACCCGCTAGCAGGGAATGACCACGCCACAATCCCTTCTCCTCTATTCTCCTCCTGGGATCTTGAGCATGCATGCATATGCCCCCGGCATGATTTTCAATCCACAGGGTCCAGGATTTGAACCACAGTCAGCCATGTGGGAGTCTAGCGACATTATCCCGATGCCATCTACTGGCCCCTGTGTCTTAGGGTCTTTATTGAATAGTCCTCTCCAGGCTTCTCTCTGCCTTACCACCACCATGTTTTCTCTCTTGGGCTGTATCCCAGTTTGGGATGGTTGGCAAATGTGCATGTCTACTGCCCACCACTCCCTCTGGACTGTAAGCCCTAGGGGAAGGTTCTTGTTTTCATCCTGCTCACCTGTAGTCTATATTCCCCAAGCCTTCTTGGGAAGAGAAGTCGGTGCCGAATCCATAACTGTGGAGTAGACCATCCAATGAATGAATGAAATTGGAAGACAACCCACATTGGACTTTGTTGTTTGGGGGCAGAACTTTTAGCCAAGTGGATTCAGGGAAAG